GATACTGCTGCATGGTAAGGCTCAGATAGCTGTGAGAAACGGTGTGGGTAAGCGGAGTTACCGAAACACACCATCCCGTCGTATTGTCAGATGAGTAACCCCTTTCTGTCATCTTGGTCTGCCAGGGTATGTTTACATGACGTCACAGGTAAGTCAGTAAAGCCGTAACGATGCTCGCCACGGTGAAAACGGGTCAAATTAATAGTACTGCCATGCTACAGCCGGTGTGATTGAATGCATGTTCTGATTGAACCCGTTGAAGTTCAAGTTGGCAATTGCTGTAAAGATTAGCGATTTTTTCACGGCGTGTTGAGTGATTCGTGACTATCGAGCTATGTATGTCACGAAATTGGCATATGAGTGTGTAGACACGTATTTTCCCACGAAATTCATTCGGAGTGACATTGAATCTGCGCTGATAGTGTGTTCACACGCACAAGCTCACAGAAATGCCATCAGAACATTTTTTGAGAGATTGTCCTTTCCGAAACTAACAGATCGTGAATGGAACAGCCTTCAAAACTATCAACCAATCACATATCACCATGCGGGAAGGCAGAAACAAAATGGCGGTCTTTTAAGGTGGTCGTTCGATGTCTGCGGTAAAATTGTGTTATTTTCGGTGAATTGCGCAAATCACTGATGTAAGTTCATCTACTTGACCCATTCACTACGTCAACAACCATAGAATAGATGTCACATAACCGTTCATATTTTCGTATGTCTGTGTTAAAACCCCGTCAGTTCCGATCGGCTTAGAAATTTAAATTGATATGTAAACAGGCCAGGCAAGGGGTTTGATGTTATATTTGCATACCACGCTTGGCTGTATATTGATACTCGAAATTGTCTCGTCGTAATTGTATTCAAGACCAACATGTAGGTGTGTGATTGCGTAGTCATTCGTCTACATTTTTACCTTTTTTAAACCTAACTCGAACTCTTAAAAATGTTGTCTAGATTAGCCCATGGAACTATAAACCCCAGGAAGAACAACCACTTCGTTTCCTTTGAACTATGATAGTTGCCGCGATGTCGAATGTTTATTTTGACTGTTTATTTTGTCGCATTAAAAAATAAGCCGATTTACGCAAATGAACGTTTATCTCCGACTATCGGTCATTTTCGGAGTCAATCGGACGACTCCGGGAGATCAAGTGACCGAGTTGTTCTGGTTATAGCATAAAAAAACAATGGCGCCAAGACAAAAACACTGATAAATGATCGACATTCAACGGGAAAAAAAAACACATTGCCACTTCTGGCGATCGAAGGGAAACACGGAATTAGTCGGGATATCTCAACAACAAACAGCTCACCAAACCCCATGTTTCGCAAACTTTCGCAACCTTATTTTTTCGAGGGTTGAAAAAAACAAGAAGTAATCTAAAAACGACATTAAAAATTATGAAAACTCGCTAAAACTCCGACCCGTTGCATGATTTCCGGTACACTGAAGGTCACCCTGCAGACCGACTTGTTTGCGCATGCGTAGTGAACGAAATATTTTACTGCGCAGATATGAAAAAAATTTTTCAAGTTTTCCGTTTCCAGCAAAGCGGTTGAAACGGGCGTATCGGCGGCAACTAACATGGAGTATGACTAATGTCGTGGAAACAAAAGCGAAAGCACTGTAAGATAAACTAAGACAAAGGTTTTTTTAATCCTCTTAGTTTCGTTGTTCTTCCTGGGGTTTATAGTTCCATGAGCAAAGTTATACGATTCCACAAGAAATAAACTGTGGTTCCGCGTCGTTTTGGGTTCGTTTAGACTCGATGCTTCGCAATCGTCTTCCGGTAACTTAACCGGATCTAATACAGTATCTCAGACACTACATCGTATTTATAAACGGGTGACC